GATTGGCTTTGGTATTTATAAACATAGTGAGGATGTGATCTGTGATGCAAGGGCAGGTCGGTGTGGAAGCTTCAGGATGAGTAATGCCTTCCTCTGTGCTCATCCAAGCTGCAGAAAAAGACCGGAAAGCCTATGAGGAGGAGAAAAATTACTCCTCCTTAAGTGGTAGAAGCTTGCAGAGAGCAAGAAGCTCTAGAGGTCTTTCTGGATACAACAAGACCATTCCCAGATAAAGCAATGCTAGAAACACTTAGATCATTATTTATTCCCTTCTGTGCTCACTACACTGGGATTTTTCTAAGGAATTTTGTTATGGCTGAAATACTTTGCAGGATATAAATTTGCTGTGCCTTTGCTCCTTCCCATCCAACTTGGTTGGTACTCTGGCATTGATCTGACTTAGTCAAGGCTTTTTTATGCTTCTTTCTATGGAGAGGAAATCTCTTGTGTCAAATCACCACTTGTGTGCCACACAAAGGTTGTGTAGAATATGCATAAGGCTCTTTTTCCAAATGTTAACGGTTTCTGGGTTGCCTCCTCCTGCACAGCCCAGAAAAGCCTTCATTAGCTGAAGCTCCTAATCCAGCACTGGACACACACCCTGGTAATTGCCTAGTTTGGAGCAAGTTTATGGTCTATGGAAATAATTGTCATGTTGCCTTTTATTGGTAAAAACTTTGTTGTGCTTCCTCTTCTTATAGCTGTTATACTTTCTTGGGCACTACCGTATTGTTTTCTGGCATGAAGTTCAGATGATTTTATATGCAGCCACATAAATACATATATACACAGTGCTGCACAGAGGCAGTTTCCCTGTGCTGATATCCCATTTCTGTTTGTAATCCCTGTTTGCACCTGAGCCATGTACGCCTGCTCTGTCATGATGTGGATCCCTGAGGATGCTGAGCAACCCAGCAACTCCCTTGGGGATGCTTTAGGTTGATCCTCAGGCACTGTTTGTCCTTGCAGGTCCAGAGGATGAGCCCAATGCCAGCAACCTTTTTGGGCAGTGCTCTCCGAGGCACTTTCTTCTTTGCCTTTGGCCTGTGGTGGTCGGTGAGGTACCCTCTGAAGTACCTCAGGAGGAAAGGGGATGTTGAGGGCCAGCCAGGCCGTGGGCGCACAGAGGTCTTCGAAGGCGCAGTCAAAGCTTTCTTTGCTCTAGTAGGTAAGAGAGGGTGATGATGAATCTGTGCCCCAATATCTACTAGCACAGCAGCAACTCCCCCACAACACTGGGCCTGTTTTAGTGAGAAACATCTGGTATGGGCGGGCTTAGGGACATGCTTGTGGCACACCCTGGGACAAGGAGCTTGCTGTTGTTCTCCTGGGCAAACATCACTGCAGCTCCACACCTGCAAAGGAGCATTCCCTCAGGCTTGTCATTTCCCCATATATAAGGAAAAGTGACATTTTCTTTCTTTGTCCAGGGATATTGGTGGAGCAGTTTGTCCCCACTGGTCCTCACCTGCATCTGTACAGCCCCGAGACGCACAGCTGGACTGACCTCACCCACTGGCACTACTCCACCATCTACCTTTTCTTCCTCCTCTCTGGCATCACAGAGGTGGTCTCACACTCCCCACTCAAGCTGCCCCCTGGCTTGGACCGCCTCTCACTGTCCCTGGCTCTGCTTGTGGAAGGTGAATTGCACCTGGTGCTAGGGGAGGACACAGAATAAGGAATTACTGCAGTGTTCACGGGTGTGACAGCTCCTGGGCAGTCTGGGGGCCACAAAGGCAGACCTGGAGGGTGTGTGGATGCACGATGACGTTTGCTTTGTGACAGCCACCCCCTCTCTTCTCCTCCTAAATATGGATCCAACCATAGCTGGATGCCACAGGGGAAGCTTGAGGGATCTGTGCTTCTCCTGGTGGCCTGCAGCTCTCTCACTCTAAAAGTACAAAAAGGTGTCATCCCCCCAGCTTGGTTGGATGCAGAGGGACAGGTCCTGATACAAAGTTCCCCACCATCTTTTGAGCTCCTCCTGCAGCCCTGGCTGAGACACAGGAATTCCCCCAGGTAAAGGGGCTCAGAGACCTCCCCAAGTACAGGGGTTCCTCAGGAGCAGAGCTGAGCCAGTGCTGGGGCTGCCTGGTTATTGCAGAGGGAAGGTGGTGACAGCAGCTGGTGGTCTCTGGTTCTTCCCTCCAAGGCAGATCATGGCAAGGCCTGAAGCCTAAGAGTGAGTTTTCAGATGATTTTTAAGAGAACAATCCCAGAGTATCCTTTGCTAACACAGGGTGGATCTTGGCAGGTTTGCTCTTCTGTTTCCGTGACTACAGTGACGCTGTGCTGGACCAGCACCTCCACTCCCTGCTGTCCGTGGCTATCTTTGCCGGAGCCCTCTGTGCCCTCCTAGAGGTGTTCCTCCGAGACCATATCATCCTGGAGACCTTCAGGACCAGCTCCTTCCTTCTCCAGGGCTCTTGGCTTTGGCAGGTCAGTGTGTATCCAGCGTTCTCCTCAGATCTTTGTGCCCAGGAAGGCGAGTGGAGTGGGGCTGCCCCTGTAGGCACATCTGTTTGGGTTAAACTTCTAGGCTGTTCAAATATCTTTGTAAATAAGAAGAGGAAATGAGGCTCAGTGCCAGAGCTGCCATCGTGAAATGCATGTGTAATATTGCAGGATGGACAGAGCTGGAAATGAATGGAAAACGGAAATCGGAGCCCACAAGGAAGGGAAACTACAATAATGAATTTTTATTAATTTTATTAGATCCATTTTCTTCCTCTGTTTGTTCCAAGTAACTGGAAACATCTGGAAATCTCTCATGTAATCTCCCAGCTTTTTGTCTAGGGGGAAATGCGCAGACTGGCAGTGTCACCTTTTGGATGTCACCCTTTCCAAAATGCTGGGCTTGCACTGCAAGCCCTAAGGATTATCTGCAGAGAATCCATCTCCTCCTGACACCCTTGTGTCAGTGGTTGGGGAAGCCAAAGGCAGTATCCTAGGTGTTATTTGGGGTTACAGTACCTCTAGTCCACAGTCAGCTGCAGCAGGTGGGCTAAAATCAGGAGGAAAACAGGAGGGATATGCTAAAGCCTGACTTCTCTTTTATCTGTGACCAGATGGGGTTTGTGTTGTCCCCTCCGTGGGGAGGACCAGGCTGGGATCAGAGCGACTCCAGCAACCTCTTGTTCCTCACCATGTGCTTCTGCTGGCACTACATGGGCGCTTTAGCTGTTGTGGCCGCCAACGCTGCTGCATCCCGCTGGTATGACGGGGTCCTGGCACAGTGCATGGGCTGGGGTGGCCAAGAGCAATACCCAGACCCAACAGTGGGCTGGGAAATCCATGCACCAGTGTGTCATGGGATAAGGAATGTGGGGATCCATGCATATCCAAGCATGGCTTGGCTGGAAGGGGTGGGCTCAGTGCCACCACAGAGTAGCCTTCCCAAGCAGGGTGGGGTGAGCCAGTGGCTTTCACTACTCACAAGTCCCTGACCATTGTCACTGTCTCTCCTGCAGCTGCAATGAGTCCTGCCAGCTGAAATTTGGAGACATCGACGTGGAGTTGGACTGTGGCTTGTGCCTCCACAGAGGGAAGAAGAGCTCCAGTGGCGTCTTGCTGCCAGAGAGCAGCTCAGATGACAAATGAGGCTGTGGTGGGCATGGAAATCTCTTCCCTGATGGTTTAGAGCTCTTGAGATGAGGTTTTTAATTAGTCTTGATAAACTACAGTGACACATGACAGTGGAGCATTAGAAGTAGGAGGCAGGACCCTGAGGCAGAGGGTGACAGAACATGCCGAGTCTTTCCTTGTGCATCCCTTTGGTAGCCACAAGTTCTTAATTCTCTGAGCTGCAGCTCAGGCTGCAGACTGCAGGACTAGTTTGCTGTTGGAGTCCAACTGGAGTGGCAAATCTGACTATTTTTCTAACATTTTCCTTTCTGCTTCCTCAGAAGGGAGCCAAGTCAGCGTTCAAAGCTCCTGGTGGCTGTCATTCTGATCTTAATGGAGAGGGTTTTGTACAAAGCTGAATGTACAGACTATCTGTGATCACCAATAAAGTGCTTTAACACATCTCCTCCATGGATCTCTTGAACACCATGCTGCAGGCTAAGGCAATGTTGGGTTCAAAATGGTTTGGGCAGTGGATGAAATATCTGAGGGATGGGACTGTGTATGATTTAATGTGGATAAATCTGCCCAGGAAAGGATGGGTGGCCAGTGGATGGAAAGGATGGAGAGTAGCTACTCTCCTGCTTGTTTATCATCAGAAGCTGAGTTAGGCATGAGAGCCAGGAGTTTGTGTTCCTGAGAGATGGGATGTTTTCTGGGCAGGGGGCTTGGCTGAGAAACCCTTGAAGCAAAATGATGGTTTCAGCTGGCTGGGGGTGGGGTGTATGGATGTTCTTGAGAAGTCTCTGAAAGCCCTGCAGTGATTTCAGTTTTTCTCCAACACCTTTATTCCCTCCTTGGAGCTGGTCACTTCCAAACAAAACCTTCCAGTTAGGGGTGTCTGCCTTGCTGTTGGAGTCTCCTTTTGTTCGCAGCAGAACAATGTGGGCAGGTCCTTCCTGCGGGGAAATGGAGAACAAAACTTAATTTAAAAGATAGCATTAGGAGGATTAGTGAAAGAACATCACTAATCATCATCCAAAAGTTCATTATCAGCATCTAAAATGTTTGTGCCATGCCCTTGGCTGAGGGTTGGGCTGCGTGAACAGGGGAGCACCAGCAGCATTGATTTTATTGTCTTCCAACACCTTTACTATATTTCCCTAAGAAATGCAAGAGCCAGTTTAGTCTGAACAAATCCCTGATGTGCTGCGCAGGCTGAGAGGAAAGAAAAATTCCTCCTACCTCAGACCAGTTGCAATTCCCAGCCCGATGGGAGCTCTCTGGAAGAGTGAGTACTGCCTATTTAATTTTTTATTTTGCATTTTATTTCTATTTTTGGTTTTTTTGGTTTTTTTTGGTTTTTTTGTTTGGTTGTTTTTGGGTTTTTTTTGTTTTTTTTTTGTTTTGGTTTTTTTTTTTTTTTTTTTTTTTTTTTTTTTTGTAGTGTTTTGGTTTTGTTTTGTTTTGTTTGGCTTGGTTTTTTTTAAATTTTATTTTATTCTTATATTTTCTCCTTTTGGAGCCGGGCTGGAAGAAGACCAATGCTTTGTGTCCAGAATAAAGCCTCAAGGAGCAGAGAAAACCAAGTAAGTGCAGTATTTTGGGCCGCCACGTTTGACAAGCACACACAGAGGATGAAGCAGGCTGCCCTCCTGAGCAATGGTTTTGCCAGGACCTGGCTGCCTTTAAGTCAGGCTGATGTGGATCTCCAGTACTGGAGTGAGCACTTGCATTGTGTTCCATGGATGTGTTGTGCTCCCATTGTTAATAATCCTCCTGGGACTAGAAGTGAGGTCATTTTGTCAAGTTGTTATAGACTGGCTGCCACTAATGGGAAGCTCAGTGCAGTGGTTACACCCTGGTATATACTGAGCTTGGATTGAAAAGAAGGGGATAAACAATCTCTTTCCCCTTTGATCAACTGATGTTACTTTTTTCCTGTTTTTTTCCCTGCCCAAATGTTATCTTTGCAGTGCTGAATCTCTTACTGAGGGTTTTGCTGCATCAAATGTTGGGTTTTTTTGGTGATGTTCCTTCTTTCTTTGAATACATGTAAGTAAGAGCGAATAGTAATAATCATGCTGTGTGTTTGACAGGTTCAGTGGGATCATGCTCCAAGCCCAAGAAGGTTTCTTTGAGCAGGGCACCCAAAATTAACTGTTACCATGTTAGGAGATAGGGCTGCCCCGTATTTGATACATGACTAATGTTCTTCATGTCAATAAAGAGAAAGAAGACATGAGGTTGTTGAGGCTGTGGCTGTGTTTGTTGCAGTTCCCAGCTAGCCTGGGTATGGGACTGATATTTCTTGTAACATCTTCTCTCCCGGTGAATCCTGAAGTGAACTAATAATTTAGTAGAAAGTCAGCCCATGGCAGGGGTTAGAATGAGAGTGTCTTTAAAATCCCTTTCAACCCAAACCATTCTGGGATTCCATGACTAGACAAGATGCAAGTGATCAGTAAAGACCCCACTGTCCACCCAGAAGTGTTGATGGTCATGTGCTGTGGACATAGGTGACCCTGAAATAGGTGGGAGGTGGACACGTGTTTCATTGCAGTCCCTGCCTCTCCAAGGCAGGTTAGGATGTGTGACTGCAGGAGTTCAATTACAGGTGACCTCGTTATTTATCGTACACAGACCTGATAGATGCTGCTCCTGTTATTTTTTCACAGAACAGTCAATTCCTTGTGTAACTCCTGGTCTGTCTGCACTGTTAGTCCCCAGGGAGATGCAGAGATGTGGATGATTTTCTTTGTCCATGGCCTGTGGTCTTTGATTCCCTGAAAAATACCTTGGCCAGAAAGTGATGCTGTGTCTCTTTGTTGTTTCACACATTGTTAAGCTTTAAATTACGCTGCTCAAGTCAGGATTTAAGGTAATTCTTACTTGTATTTTACATTTTTCTTGCATATTGGCACACAGAAACACTAAGACTTGTGGTTTTGATGACAAATATTCCCTGCTGCACGGTTAAATTTGGAGAATTGATTGAGGTATCCAGAACACACCTGCTGAAGTGTTTGGAAGGAATAAGGACCTTTGCACTTCCAGATTGAATTCACAAGTTTTCTCACAGCAAGGGTTAGAAGAATGTCATGGTAAGTTTTCCCATTTCCACAAATACTCTGCTGCTGGTAAATGTCAGGAACAGGCTTTTACACTGGAAGAACTGGACATAGAAGCCTTTGCAGGATGGCTGGGTGTAATTTGGGTATCCTCTTGCCTCAGCCAGAGGGAAGAGAAACTGCTTAAGACCATATGGAAAAGTGCTGCTGGACAAGCTGAGATGCTTTACAAACCCTCAGTATGCAAAACCTTTTGTTGTCATTGCCGAGAGATTTGCTGGAGATTCATGGTTTTAAAAAGAGTTGAAATTAGCACTTTAAGCACCACTAAAATCTAATTGTTTCAGCTTAATTATTAAACTTAGCCTCCAAACTTAATACAATTGCTGTTCAGAGGACAATCGGATTTTCTAGGTCACTCATCTCTTCCAGAACTTAAAATTTTCCATTACTTTTTAAAATTTTTTTTTAATCTTAATGTGTTTCTTGCCTATTAACTCAAGTGATTTAAGAAACAACAGTCAGCAGTACATGGTTATTTTCCTCTGAGAATGCACAACCTGGATCTCATCCAAGGTTGTGGTGAGACTGCACCTTAAATAGTGTACTTGGGTTTCGGTCCCTCCCTACAAGGAAGACATTGTGGTGCTGGAGATTGTCCAGAGAAGGGAGCAGAACTGGAGAAGGGCTGCCAAGTAGGGGGAAGTTTTCCAGCTCTGGCTGGAGTAGTTTTTGGGAGGCTGTAGGTTCTTGAATGTGCCTGGGTGGTGATCATGAAGTGTTAGGTGGAGAAGAGGCTGGTCCTGCTTCAAGGATGCTCTGGGTTCCAGCAAGAGTTACACAGTGTAACAGGGGGGATAAACTCATTGTAATTCTTAATGTGTTTCCACTGTACTTCGTGAAACTTCAGACCAGCAAACAGTTTGATAAATGTGTGTGTATAATGAGATGCTCAAATATAATGAATCTTAAGAGTTAGAGTGGCCTTATTGAAAAATATACAGTTTTCCCATGGGTGTAACATTTGTGAAGTCTCATAGTGCTCACATCCCTCACCTTTGTCCTGACATGTCTATGAATTCCTGGGAGGTGTTTCTTTTCCCAGCACTGCTTTGAAAATAGATACCAGTGACTGTGTTTTGTGGTGGGAAATAAAATTTAAAAATCCAGGTGTGCCAACGTGTTTCACACACACAAAAAAAAAACCCAACAAAAAAAAAAAAAACCAAACAAAAAAACAACAAAAAAAAAAAAAACTGCCCTGTTTATTAACCTTAATAATATTTATTTTCCCTGCAGGCTATGGGGAGTTTCATACATTGTGTGAGTACTGAGGCTGGTGGTAGGATGCCTCATTGTGCCCCATTTCTGCTGGTTCTGTGAGGTGTTTTGAATTCACTAGGAGCATCCTTTCCAGCACAGTGGAATCTGGTGAGAAGGTTATTACACATCCTACTGATTTTCAGAAAGCAACGTGGAAACACCTTTGGTGCAACTATTTAAATCTGGTGAACCTTTTGTCCTCAGGACACCTCAGAAAACCTGAGCTCTTCTTTGGAGTCTCAAACTGCAACAGCAGCCAGGCTCCTCTCTGCCTTCTTGCCTCAGTTTAAAGTTGTATGTAAAGATAAAGAAAGGTTTTTCTAATGCTTATTATCATTATCCAATACTTTCCTCTGGTTTGATTGTGTGTGCTGGCTAGAGATACCCACATATGCTGATATTGTGGTGGGGGCATGAGTTACCTGGATTAAAAGATGAGTTACCATGGATTTGAACCATGAGCTGCCATCACTACTTGGAAACCTAGCTGAAGCCATCAATAGTGCAGCAAAACCTGGAAAAGCTGCTCTCCGGAGCTGATGCTGGAATTCTGAAAGAACAGCAGTTGCCTCTTGTTCACCTTCCAATACTGTTTAGTTCAACTGGCCCTTGTTTCTCAGGGTTATGCTGCTGGAAAATAAAGAATGTAGTTCTCATACTGATGTGTGAGTGTAGTAGAGATGTGTTATTTGAATCTACCAAATAACGTAATTTTTATTTGATTTGCAGAATATTTGTGATTCATCTGTTCTGCTGACCTGATGTGTTTCCCTACAATGTGTTACCAGTGCTCCATCAGTGGCTCCATCACCTGCTGAGTGCTGCCACTGCCATGAAAGGGTGGAAAAAATGTCCTTTCTTGCTGGGTTTATGTGGTTCCTTTTTCCCCCTGTGGGCTGCTGGCATCTGATGAACATGGTGCAGCTCTTGTTTCCTCCTTTGTTTCTTCCTCACTGGGAGACTGTCGTCACAATGGACAAAACCTACTTAATTCTGGGATTTATCAGAATAAAAATTCTACCTGGCCAAGCTGTGGTACAGCTCCTGTGACGGCTGGATCTTAACTATACCTTGGGCCCCGGCAGTGTCACAGAAAGGAGAAATTTTTTATTCATAAACTATATCCATTTCACATTTATATATACTGAAATTCAAAGTATTTGTTTTAGATTGTGTAATGTTCTACACAGGGCCAGGAGTTTGTTTGGCTTTAAAAAGAGTTTTAGTTAGGTTTAAAAGAGGAGGTTTGGGGTTTAAAAGAGACAGTTTTGTAGCTTTGAATAGTTTTTGTGTTGTGGTGTAGTTCTGCTTTAACCTAATGTTGTATCAAACATTTTTGTTACGGAAGCCTTTGGAAGATGGGAGCAGAAAAGAGGAGTTGGCCAAAATCCTTGTCTTTTCTAGGGATCCAATAAAGAATGGAAGATACTCAGTTGCTGGTTTTAATTACTGACTGAAGGAAAACTAAGTTACTGTGTACATATCTGTGTACAGTTTAAGTTTCCAGATGTTCTGTAGCAAATTCCAAGTAAAATTTGGATTTAAATGGCAAAATAACTGGAGATGCAGTTCCCAGCTTAACTCTTGGAGGCAGAGCTGTAGAGTTTAATTAACCAATTGATTGATTATCACCTGAGCACATGGATTCCTTGGCTGAGCTTCTGTAGAAGGCCATTTGGCCTGGCGGCAGGAGAAGGGAGCGGCGCTCGCTCCGAGCGAGCCCCAAGCGCGGGGGCCGTGGGCGCCGAGGGGCTGAGGGGCCGAGGCGAAGGAAGGGGAAAGGACCCTTTGCTCGCAATCCAGCAATCTTTATTCTTCCCCGCGCTGCAGGGCAGCGGTGCAGGCTGACACAGTGTCAGGGCTCCAAGCAAAGGCAAGGCAAAAGGCCTCAAGTGGCAAGAACGGCGGCCCTAATGATAGTAAAAGGGCTGTAAAATCATGGGGATTTAGGGTTAAAAGGAAAATTAAGCTTAGTAGGCCCTGAAAAGAAAAATAAATACCCTAGGTATATGAAGACCTTGTACCTTTCTAGAACTGCACCTGCGTAGCTAGTACATGATAAATTATATAATTGTTAGATGTGATGATTGTTTAGTAATTAAATATAATTACTGTTTAATCATAAGAATAATCATGAGAAACTGTGGTCAGGGGCCTAAGAAAGATCACAAGAAACTCACGTCAATGTATACAATAGAACAATATAAGTTTAATAATTAATATGTAAGTTATATAATGATAGAATATAAAATACGTTCAGCTTGAAAGCCATGTTGGAGTCAGATTTGGGTCTGTTCCCCTGATTCCCAGAGCTCTCAATAAAAGAACCTGCATATGATCATATCCCATGATTTTGTGTGTTCCTGAACACTAACACTAATAACAAATCATAGGACAAGTATGGGGTGGATATGTGTAAACATAAGACCAGTAGGGAAGTGGGGAGTGCACACATAATGTACCGACGAGTGAAGGAAAATATCATAACTGACAGGGAAACTTCCAGATAAGCGGGTGTAGCAAATAATGACAGACAAGCTGCAGGGCCAGGATTTAGAAGACAGACAGGGAAGGGTCTGGAAATAAGGGAGGTATACTCCAGGACTGACATGGGAAAAAGCGGGAAAGCAGATGGAAAACAACTTTGGGGAGAGACTATTAGGAAAACTGAACAGGGGTGAATAGGGACAAACCATTACAATTATATTAAACAATTTCTTAAATATAAGCTTCAAAATCCCACTACTACACAGTTTTTTATTTTAGACCAGCTTTAACAGCAGAGCTGGAGCCTCACAAACAGCACTGGATGTGTAAACATGACTGTAAAGCTGTTTTGTGGGCAAAGAAATTCCTGTTCTTCTTTGGGTAGAAAATGCTTGTTCTGTGTTTTGGGTTTTAATTGGAAGACGAGAAGCTTCACAATTAAAGATGATTTAGACCAAGTACATGGGATCTTTGTTCAAGCAAAATGCAACACCCTTAAAATATTTTTTTTAAATAAAAGTAAAAATAAAGTAACTTTTGCTTTACTTTTGATTTTTGTTTTCACTTTTTGTTATTTACTTTAATTTTCACCTCTTTATTTTTGCTTTTATTTTCAGTTATTTTTATATTCACTTCTACTTTTTATTTTTAAAATGAAAATATATTTAAATATTAAAGAAAAAAACCACAAACACCACCAGGTTCCTCCCCTTGACTTGTTCTACCCCAGCCAAAATCCAAACCACTGAGATAGATTCTGCCCTGATGTCTTCTATTACAAAAATAAAAATTGCAGCTCCCCCGCTCCTCTAGAGTTTATACATTAAAAGAAAAGCCCTGCCCTGGAAAAGAATTAACACACCAGGTACCTGGAAGTGTGGTCCTCTGGTTTATTAGGCATCCAAAACTATGGAATATCAAAAATTCTTTCAAATGAGCCAAATTCTAAGTCCTTAATTTTGGAGACCCTGGGAGGCATCCCCTAGGTTAGGGAGACACAAGAAGCTTCCCTCAAAAAGCTGTGAGACCCCATTGGCTCCTTCCCCTGTTCCCATGTCTCTGAGGCATTCCCTCCCTCTTCTCCCTTTTCTTTGTACTGCCCCTATGCTACTGTCCAGCCCCGGCCTCTGGGCACAGAGAAAGCAGGAGACTCCCCATGAGGGTGCCTGGGACTCTGAGCAATTTTCCAGGCAGCTGAATTAAACATCTGTGAATATTATGCAAAGGCCCTTTTTGCTTCCTTACTCTGGACTTTATTAGCAGCAATTCAGCTTGCAACACTTAATCAGAAAAAAATCACCATGATTTATTTCCATGCTGAAGCTCCTTTTTTCAGCAAGATATTCCAAATATACCAGTAAAGTGTTGTGGTGGATGGACACATCCCAGGCTGTAAACAGTTTATATATATATATATATATATATATATATATATATATATATATATATGTATATATGTATGTATGTATGTATGTATGGACCACTTAAACCCAGACTGTGATTCAGAGCACAAACTGGGCCATTGGAAATTCAAGTGTTCTCTGCTTTTTTAAAAATAAATTTGAGCACATAGGCCTGGAATTATATTACAATGACTTTTCTCATCTGTGGCTTGTAGTTCTTGATGCATCATCCTGAAAAGTAAAGGATTCTTCAAGTTCAACCCAAAAAGCTGGTTTTGGTATTCACTCTTCAAAGCAAGGAGAAAGTAATTAGCAAAAGGCAATACAGACAACATTCTCAGAACTACGAGCACAGAACTAAAGGGACTAAACACATAATCTGTACAAAAAGGATTATTAATTAAGTAACTGGAATAGATGAAGGCTGGATCTGTGACCAAGCATTGGGATAGTCCTAGTCTAGTTCTTGATTCTCAGTACCTAGAGTGAGCTCCAGTCATTTACTTGTGTCACCAGCCAGGAGTAAAGCTCTAAAAAAAAATCTCAAACCACTGGGAATCCATGCCAGCAAAGAATGGCTGGATCATTACTTTACCTGCAGTTTATTTCTTTTCCAGTATCCAAACACTCACATGGCCATAAGGAGTGTTTCCTTCCTCGTGCCTGCTGAAAACTCATGTCCATAATTGCCTCTTCACAGGATAACAAAAAATCTAAAACAGATTACTCTGTTACATCCAAAAAAGTGACACCAAAAGGTGGCACAGCAAGGGCTGAGCCCCAGAAAAAGGGCTGCACACAAATAAGTTTGTCCAGAGGAGGAAAAAAGGATGATATTTCCTTGTGGCCTGCTCTCAATGTAAAGATCCCGCTTTAGATTTCCCTGGCCTCAGATAGTCACATAGCATTTCCTGCCCCAAAACTCATGGATACGGGCAGGAGAGCTGCTGCTGAAAAAAAGCAGCATTATATTTGACCACCCAGAGACTTGCTCTGACCCAAGCTGGGAGTTCAGTGAGATGCCCTCCAGAAGTTCCTTCCAGCCTTAATTTCTCCATGAGCCTTCACCAGCTGCAGGATTATTCCCTGCTGGACCACCACACTGAGAAAACAATTATTCCTCAGTCTGCATTTTGTGAGGCAGTGCCAGCCCTGGGAGAACCAGCCCTACTCTGTTCTCCGCTGCAGGAAGCAGAGGCCCTGGTCAGCACACAGGAGAACAGCCCACCCCCTCCCTTTCACACATACTCCCTGCAAACCCAGGCAGCAACACCAAAATCCCAGTCTGTAAGACTTCTGTAAGATTGCTCTAAGAACAGGCCCTCTGCCAGATGTTCACAAACACACCCTGGAAGCACTAAGCCCAGCTCCAGGATGGCAGCTCTGTACCAACTCCCCATTCTAGCAGCCACCCAGGGAGCTGCTGAGGGAGCCAATCTCTCTGCTCAGAAACCTTCACACCACTTTCTCCCTGAGATGTTTTCTCTGAAGCGCCTGTTCTTTCAGCTAGAAAAAAATAAATGCACCCTGGATTTATTTATTTATCCATCTAAGAGACCAGAGTTTCCCTCTTTTAGAGCTTGCCATAGACAGAGCCCTTCCTCTCAGAGACCTTGCAGCAGGATACACCGAACAGCTGCTATGATATAATTCAGAAGGGATATTAAATCCCAGTCAACCATCTGCATCTCCCTTAACCCTCGCTGACACTGTCTAGAGTACCAGAACAGAAGCAGTCTCAGCCTCTTCAACATCAGAGCAATACGTTTTACAGGGAGAGATTCTTCACAGCCACACACACATGGGATGAGCAGAAAGTTCAAAGCCAAGAGTGAACACATTCAAAGTCTCAGGTATTTCACTTCCTGCTGCAGAGTCAGGCAGAGAAAAGCCCCTGGTGTGTTGCAGGCAGGGACTCAGAGGAGGGAATCGATGTTCTCCCTGCCAGGGAATGTTCCCAGGGAACAGGTGAGGAGGATGAAGGAGATCCCTGCTCTCACATGAACAGATGAGATGCTCCTGAGACATTCCTGCCTCCAGAGTAGCCTCCAGCCCAGGTCCAGAGGATGGATGTTGCTGTGGAGACTGCAAGGATGTTGAGGATCTCAGGACGATCATTTGCAGGCAATCTGACTCCCCTTGATCTTTCTGCTCTCATATTCAGGGATCATACTGGGAAATCTAAAGTATGGAAACAGAAATTTGGCTAAGGCTCCTATGTTCCTAGAGCACAGGCAGGCTGTGGGCCCCAGAGCTCCATGAAGCTCTAACATGGGAGGATGGGGAATCATTCAGAAAACTGGGATATCCCCAAACTGTTTCACTCAGACACAGCAATTCAGGTATTAAGTTCCACAGACTATCCCATCACCTCATCCTCTTAAGGGTCTTTACCTCTGTCCCAGATTGAAAGGCAAGATGTATTCCATCTGTATGGCAGTTGTCTTCTGTTAAGTGGGCAGTTTTCCTTATCTCTTTCACAACTATTCTACCTCCAGGGAGACATCTGATAATGGGATATTGAATGTCACTGCATGACTGA